AGTATTCCTTGCTGGGACGGCCTCGAAGGGGCAATGAAACTTCGACCTGTTTAATACCTTAGTAGAGCCTTATGGTACCCTTATGTACCCTTAAAGGGCCCCCTATTTTGGAATATACTATTTGGGTACATCTTAGTAGCTGAGTGGATACACTTTACACTTTTCGCTGATAGTATTACCCACCATAACACTGAAAGCGTACACTTTTGGGGGGCTTATGAACTCAGCAACTAAGAATACAAGGCCTTAAGAAATACCGGCATGTCGGGCCTTGGGGTTATACTTGCCCAGTGTCTCGGATTTGGGGTTTGGGATGTAAAGTTTCTGGTTATGGTTGAGGGTTTAGGGGTTTAGGGTTTAGGGTTGGGCTCCGGTTGTGCGGAACAGGGTTCGAGGTCAGGGGCTCGGGGTTGGCTGCGATGTTGCGTCGCAGCAATGTCATAAATGTGTCGAGCGTGCTGTGCCATTTCGATGTGCCGCGGTCGCGCCTTCGGCCACTCTTTACTGTATGAGGCGGCCGAACCAGCCCTTGTTCAGGTGAGAGGCTCTTGCTTTTCCGCGTACCGTCCATGAAATCTAGCTAAGCTTTTGGCAGCACAGTGTGATTGCCTGGTTGGTTCTAAACAAGCTAGGCATTGCGAACGGGTATACCGAAACTAGACCCCCGGAGTTCCCCAAGGACCATTGGTCGTTCCTGAAGCCTACGCCCTAAACCCCTAAACCCTTTACTAAACTCCCTACGTAGATCCACGGAAGGAGCCCTAATCCCTAAACCTAAATTCCCAAAATCCCTCAAGCCAACCTTAAATTCCCTAGAGCCAAGGAAATCCACGCCGAGATGCAAATCTTATCTCGCTGTGCGCGAGCTGGGATTTCCACTTCCGGCGGGTGGATGTGCATCTTAGCAGGTTTTTGGTTTTAGGGGTTTAGGGTTTATGGTTTAGTGTCATTTAGGGGTTAAGAGTTTTTGGGGCACAGTATAACCCTAAGGGTCCACGTACCAACAGGTATGTACTTTGGGCCCAATGTACCTATATAGGGAGTACTTCCAGGCCAAAGTATATACTATTTGGGTACATGCACCTGTAGGGTAAAATCCTCCCTAATTCCGTAAAGCCTGAAGCAATTATAAGCCCAGTGAAGGCCTTAAGCCCAGAAGCCGCGAACCCCTAGCCTTTAAACCTCTAGACCCTAAGCCCTAAACCCGTCCTCAGCCCTGAGCCATCAAGGTATTCAGACGGCTCCCTGCTGGGACTGCTGCAAAGCTCTGAGCCTTGGCTTGTCTAAGCAGTGGAATCTTCGGAGGCGCTGCAGTCGCAAAGCCAAGCAGCACTCTTCGGGTCTGGTAGGGTTTAGGGTTTAGGGGTTTTGGGGTTTAGGGGTTTTGGGGTTTTGGGGTTTAGGGGTTCAGGGTTTAAGGGTTTAGGGTTTAGGGGTTTAGGGCTGGATTTGTAGTAAAAGGATTCCCTGATACACTGCGTTTCATGCGACTATGACTTTATTCCACCACACTATGAAAGCATTGATGCTCATAGTTATGGCCTCCATCTTTGAAACTGAAGCAGTAGCGAACATGACCATGATATCAGCAAAGGCGAGAGAGCAAGTGTAAGGCAACTGTGCTCGTAGCGATCGTGTGAACAGGAAGACGAGTGCTATGACCACGCACTATAACCCAAATCCGACATCACCAACCCAGAGACTCCAAAACCCCTTAATTGAGGAATATACCTTAAATCATATTAGGATCCCTATTATGGTTTCAGGTATATTCCTTAATTAAGGGGTTTTGGAGTCTCTGGGAAATCCTGAACCCAAAGCTGAAACCCCAAACCAAACCGTAAACCCATTGAGGATTGCCGCTGGCATCAGCCGTGTCCTCTTTGAGGCTGCGCCGGGTCAGGCGCAGAGGACACCTGGGAAGTGGCGGAGGTCCAAGCTTGCTGCAGAAGCTGCGTGGTGGCTATAGTTCTATCATAGGGACCCTTACGGGGGGTAGGGGGAGGGGGTAGGGGGCCTTACATAATAAGGACCTTATCTGGTCTCTTTAAGGAAATATAGTCCCCTGCCCCCTCCCCCTTCCCCCCCTAAGGGCCCCTATGTTGCACCATCACATCGTAAGTACTTACATGCCGGTATTAAGCCTTTAAGCTTTAGGGTGCAGGATCAGGGCGTGTGGTACTATAGCAACGTAGGTCGCAACGTAATATACTTGAATGCGGAAGCCGCGGAGCCAACTGAAGGCTGCAGGTATCGTTTGGACGCCCGTCCCAAAGGATGAGCAGCGAAATCAGCGCCTGGCTTCCTATTACTGGGTTCAGGGCATCAGTCTCTGCTATTTGAAGGATCCCAGACCCCCGGAAGTATCCAAAGAGTAGATCCCTTAATGGGGGTTCCTGTATAGTACCATAACTAGTATAGGGCCCCAAATTAGGGGATCCACTTTCTAGGTGCTCCCGGGGGTCTGGGATCAGGTCGAGTCTAAGGGTACAAGCTAGTCGCAGGTTGGAGTCTCAGAGCTTAAGGTGCTACCGTCCCTATCATCGGCGTGTCTACGATTTGTGCCTTTGAGAAACCCTACTTGGAGGGTCGGGGACTTTAATTAGGGTCCCTTATAGGGTACTTATAAGTCTACTTACTGCCTACTTACTAAGTCCCCCGACCCTCCAAGTATCCCAACCCCCAAACGTCCAAAACCCTGAAGGCTTTTGCGCTCTAAGCCCTGAACCCGTAACACCCTCATAGATCCTTGAAGAAAACCTTCAAGAACCCTAAAGTCATACGCGCCCATCTGGCTGCCTTGTATTCTGGGTCCTGTAAAGAAGCCTTCGAAGCAGAGCACCTCATCCCCAATTGCCCCTAATGGCTTACTAGGCTTATAAGGTGGTTTAGGGCTCAGTTAGGATTGATGCAGCACAAGCCCTGCCCTAAACCCTTAACGCTTATAAACCTTAAACCCCAAACCCTAAACCCTAATCAATCCCCAAACTTGACACCCCAAACCCGAAACCCTAAACCCCAAGCCCCAAACCCTAAACCCGAAACCCTAAGCCGCCAGGTATGTGGACGAGCTGTGGAGACCTGGTCTTTCTTGCAAACGTTTTTCTGTGGTTCAGGGGGTGACAAAGGGTTGGTATAAGGGCACTATTGGGGTTCCTATAAAGGGCTTTACAAGGGTTTTTTAGTTTCCGAAAGTTAGGGGTACCGTATTTTGGGGTCCTTATACTAAGGATCCGACAATCGAGGGTACCATATGAAGGCCCCCAATTTTCGGAAGCTCCCTTTTGAATCAGGATTGGAGCCCTTCTTCCCCTTAGTATAATATAGTATAGTCCTAAGCAGGACCCCAAACTAAGCATCTTTGGTTTCAGTATAGTATATTCCCCAAACCCTAAAGCCCCACAGGTCAAAACCCTAATAAAGCTCCAGGACTGCCTGGAGCTGCTTCTAAGAACAAGGAGCTCAGATTAATTTTGTGAGCTCAAAATGCCTCGAAGATCAAAACCCTAAGATCTACCCTGAACTCTAAACCCGAAACCCTAAACCCCTAAACCCCTCAACTCTAAACCCAAAACCCCAAACCCAGTGCTTTGAACGAACCCCTAAAGGAACCCATAGAGGAAGCGCGTTAAAGGCACCCTTGAAGGATCCCTAACCTGCTTTGATGAGCAGCCCAGGAGAAGGTACAAGGCCGAAACCGGCCTGGACCGATCCGCTGTGAAGGGGCTAGCCGCCTAGGCCTTGGGGCTTTTGGGTTTAGAAAGGGGTTCCTTTAAAGGGTCTATAAGGGCTGCTACAAGGGCTATTAAGAGGATAGAACACAGGGCCTTAAATATTTAATTACCTAGACGGCTAGCCACCTAGGTTTGTGGCTTCAGGGAGTCTCTGACCAGCAGGCACTTGCAGAAGAAAAGGGGCGAAGCTCTGTGTGATATGTGTTACAGATGCTTGGTGACTTCAGGCTTGCTTTAGCTTTAGATTCATCTGCACGTGCTGGTGCTGTTGCTATGCGGCGGCTACTTCTAGTCGTAATTCACTAGGTCTATACGAGTTGCCGGAAATAGGGGACCCTAAATAGTAGGTAGCATCCTTAACATAAGGATCCCAGAATGAGGCCCCCCCGCTTTTCGGAAAGCCCCCATAGGTTTGCTCAAGCCCAAGCCCCAAACTTCAACCCGATGACCTTTGGTAACAATGTTGGAGGCTGTTGGAGTTTTTTCATATTCATACTAGGTGTCTCTCCACACTGTGGTTCTTAAGTCTAAGATGTTTGTTGAAATAATGGGCCTAGCGAAACACCAGGCTCTGCACTCCGAGCCGCAACAGAACCCCTACGTGCGAACTCAATAAAGCCCTAATCAATCAAAGCCCTGAACCCTGAATGGGTTTGGGGTTTAGGGGTTCTGGATTTGGGGTTCAGGTCTTGGAGAGTATTCCTTGGGTACTGCCACAACTGTCACAGTTGAATTATTTTCGTAGTATAGATATATTAGGACTTTCATAGTAGCCCGATCATAAGCCATTACTGTATGGGGGCAGTACCCAAAGTAGTCTTATTCTGGTACCCAAGAAGTTGCCCCAACCGATACAGTCCTGAGGCTACTGCGGGACGACGGCTTGGAGACGCTCCTCAGACCTTACTCAGTCTAGGTCGGCGATAGCCTGTAGCTGGAATGTAGGAGCCTCTACATCCTTGCAGTTCCTTAATGTACATATCCTATAGTCTGGCTGAAAGCCGTAATCTCATGCTTAGACTTAAGGGCCCTGCATTAAGCCAAGGATGCTTGTGCTTAATCATGCAAGCCTCACGTATGCTACCCGAAGCCGCAGCATCTCACCCTAAACCCTAATCCCCCAAACTCGGCGCTCAGGATCATGCATAGGTGTAAACGCGAGGAGATCCTAATCCCTCCACCCCATACCTCAAACTATATTCGAGATCCTACTAGAATTTAAGGTATATTCCTGAGTTCTTTCCTTATAGTCCTTTAAGGAGCCTCAACAATTGCAATAGGGATCCTTTCTATCGCAGTCTAAAGGGGCTACTGTAAGAGTTTGGGAATGGTAGTGCTTAGGGCTTAGGGTCTTTTCTCAGCAAGGCTGGGTTTCGCCGAAATGCCGCAGAAGCCGGACGGCACGGTCTTGCACCTCGGCCTGAGCAATATCATAGCCATCCTCGGGCTCAGCTTACTAAAGTCTCCTTAGGAATTATGTATTATTTATGGAAGGGTTAAAGTGGCTTGCTTCAATCATAATCGTCCAGAGTCTGCTTTTGGCTGCTCTCAAACCTGATACAATAGAAGCCCAAAACTTGGAAACCCCAGAGCCTCCATCCTTCAGAGTACTGTATAGGGAATCCCAGCACTATTTGGCCTTATTCCAGTTTCCAACTTTATGGTTGGTTTACTGTACTCTCCTCAGGAAGTACTTATTACCCAGAGGCTCATACCTTACCCCTTTTTTTGGATACCTAGTTTTATGGTTAGGACCTGTTATCTTAAAAAGTAGGCGCCCTAAAAAAAGGGGCAGGGTATGAGCCTCCAGGTAGTTTTGTTCCAAGAGACTATTATTTGTATTATAGTTCCAAGGGTGGTATAGTTTTAATGCGGCTCTGTAAGGGTTCCCTTAAGGGTTACCTTAAGGGTCCCTTGGAGGCGGCTTGGGGGGGTTAGGGTTTATGGCTTAAGGGTTTAAGGGTGTAAGGGTTCAGGGCTTAGGGCCTTTACCAAGGGCGTTTTAAACAGAGCCCTTATGTTTTCTTTGGTGGGTATTTATTTAGGGTATACAAGTCCAATTAAGTCATAGGGGCCTTAACAATACAGTTTAAGGTGTTCCTCGTGATTACGGACGTATTGGGATCTCTGGGCACTGAGTAGAACAAGGGGGTCGGGGGTATACCGTAGTACAAGTAAGTACGAACCATGGGCATCTGATTGTTGTTTGGTTTGTTTGTGTAGTGGCCAACTTGAAAGTAAACTATTGCCATCTCATGTTTGAGACAGCCTTAAACCTGAGCCTGCACCACCAAAAGCACAAAGCCCCAAGCCCGTAAACCTCGAACGGCGAGCCTCCGCCCCAAACTCACCGCTTCAATTCCAACTACCACAGCCAACTCTATCAGTTGGTACAGGTGGATTCGCACAGTCTGCCACCTTCGACGATTGTACTAAAGCCGGGCAAAAATGTATACACCACTATAGGGGCCTTAAATAGTCATCGCCCGCGCTATCTGAGTGGCTCCTTATTGGGATTATTGTATCACGGGCCACAACCCTATTCCAATTAGTAAGGCCCCGACAAAAAATACGTTTTGGTTTAAGCAAGGCCCTCCGAACGACTGCTGATCTTCTTCTGTGGCAGCCCCGAAGTACTTGAAAACGGTGTCGGCTTTTTCGTGATAATGTTTGCCTCATTCTTCTTTTAAACTTGATATAGTATAATAACATGGAGTGCTTCAAGGCCAAAGTTTATACGATTTGGGTACCTGGACCCTTAGGGAAATCTGATCAGGCCCTTGGCGCCCTTGACTTGAAACTTTAGCGAAAACGGAAGTCTGTCAAGTTCTTATCATCAGGCCTTCTTTTCTCAGGTTTTAAAGCAGCCAAAAGCAGACTCTGGACGATTACGAGTGAAGCACGCCACTTTAACCCTTCCCAACTCCAAGCCCAAACAACCCTAAAGCCTAAACCTAAACCGAACGAGAACAGGAACTGGGGCATTCCTATCCTGCAGAGTTGGGACATCTCAGAGTCAGCAGCGCTGCAGATTCTCAGGCCGGAGGGTGGTGTCAGGCTTTTGGCCCCAGATTAGAATTTTAAGACTCAAAACCCTAAACCCCTGAACCCTAAAACCTAAACCCTAAGCCCTAAACCCCTCAACCCCTAACCCTAAACCCTAAGACTCAAGATTTATGGATGGGTTCATCAGCAATCGTGAGTATAGGGTTCGGCCGGAGAGCTTCCAGGCCCGAAACTCTAAACCCGTTTTTGTCTAGGTTCAAAGGGGGAAAGGAGGGACCCTTAAATTAATGGGGACCCCTACCCTATAGTGGGCTATTTAATGGATGTATAATAGCTATATTAAGGGTATATACTCAGGGATCCTTATTAAGGTTCCTTCCTTTTACCCTTGGATAGATGGCACTTTGGGGAACTTCTTAAATTTGCTTTTCTTGTTGCCTATTCATACCTACTTTTGAGGGCCCCCAAACTGCAACCCAGTTGTGTTCCCCAAGGGTCCATGTACCCATATAGAGATACATGGGCCCCAATGTACCTATATAGGGACTACATTAAGGTCAATGTTATACTATATGAGTACATGGACCCCTAGGGGTTGTTACGGACTTCAACCTCTCAAGCAGGTATTGCTCTGCAGGAAAATGCAGCTTATAGCCCTTGGATGAGTCTTGGCTTTTGGGGTCGTTGGTTCTTTGCGGCCTAGAGCCTCACTACCATAAACTGCGGAGAGAGAACATAGGAGTCAGAAGAATTCGGAGTCTTTTGCCTGAGTATTTTACCGATTAGGGTTTATGTTTTTGCCGTTCTTCTGGTTGGCTCTTAGGACTTGAACTTTGTGGGTTTCTGTTTGAACTATAATCAGGAGGCTAAAAGTTAGCTTTCAGGAGGGGTTCAGAAGTCAGCCCTATAGTCTTGAAAGTCTAGGGTCTTGGGGTTCAGCGTCTCTCGGGTTTAAGGCTTCTTGTGTTGTTGAAACTTTGTGTCCAAAGGCTTTCGTGCTTCTATCTGAAGTCTATCGCGAGATTCTACCTGTTGAGCCTCTCGCGCGCTGACCTTGCCTGTCAGGCGATTTCTTGCCGATGGACTCCGCCGCTATGAGGCCAGTTTGTTTGGAAGCGCGGGCGGGGGTTGCTTGCGGTCTGGATGGCCTTGAACTATCTCGATTCAGTTCTGTGGCTGTAGATGTACGCATGCATGCATGTATGCGTGCATGTATGTATGTAGGTATGTACGAATGCTCCAATATACTGGCTGCACATGAGGCCGTGTTTGAGGCGTATTTCGGAAGGGCAGACGTGCGTCTGTGCAGCCTGCGCCTAGGTCTCTCGTCTTCCCAGCACTATGTAATCATCATGAACCCTAAATGCTAAGCCCTAATCCGCGGACCACAAGCCCCCCAGCACTAATCCTGCAGATTCTGAACCCAACCCTGACCTCCACCCACAAAAAAAGGCGGGGGCTTTCGTGAGGCCAGGCAGATACACACGGAGGAATCCGAGGTCCCGCTGTAAGGTTCGGGGTACATGATAACGAGGCCATGTTCTGGAATCCAAGCTATTGATCTCTTGTAGAGTCGCCAACAGGCGACCCTAGAAATCCCCTTTCTTTCAAGGAACCTTATTCTCGTCATTGCAGCAGTTTGGGTTTATGTTCGGCTCCAATTCGCAACATCCTGCATCAAGACTGAAATATTGAGGCTTTGTTTTACGGTTTGACTCTTAAGTTTCGTCATGCTAGATCTTCGACCTAAACCACAAACCATGTTATATACCCTACTGTACCCGAGGCCCAACCCCGAAATTTCAATCCTGATCATATATCCTGAACCCAAACCTCAAAGCCTAAGCCTAAACCCTAACCCCCTAGCCAATGACCTCTAAACCCTCGACCCGGCATTTCACAGGGTTTCATAAGGGTTATGTTAGGTTCGCGGTTCTAGGTTGTTCTCGAATTTTTGGTGGCATAGACACCGACACCGCCCTGATCTGTTGTAGGCAGGGCGACAGCTGGCCGATGCCTCCGCCGTAACCCGGATCTCGCCATACCTCCGCCGATTGGCCGCGTTTTGAGTGGGTATATAGGGCTTAGGCTTGAAGGTGTGTTTCCCTAAGGGTCCATGTACCCATATAGAGATACATGGGCCCCAATGTACCCACATAGGGACTACATTTAACAGGGTTGAGCTGTAAGGTTTTTTAGGGGAAGTGGTGAAACCGTTTTCGTGTGAGCTGATTAACTGCATTTGCTAAAACAGCTTGCCTCCACCTGCCGGTCGTTTATCTTTTTTGCTAAAACAGCTTGGGTCCACCTGCCGGTCGTTTATCTTTTTGGTTCAGCCGTTCCATTAAGTGAGGGAGGCTGGGGGCCCCAGTCCTCCTCACTTAACGGGACGGTCGTAAAGGGCAGGATCCATACATAGGGAGGGGGAGGGGGGGGGCAGGGCGGCACGTAAATCCTCACTTGGGTATTAAAACCTTAGGGCCCCAATAGCCCACATATCTCAACAACCCTTACTACCAACAGCCCGCCGGTTGTAATTAATGCTTGTACCCCCAAACTCAGAGCCTAAAATAAATAACACAGAAGATGAAAACCATTAACCTTCAAGCCCTACAGCAATACCCCTAAACTCAAGCTTGCCGGTCGAGAAGATCATCCTGACGCCATGGGCCGGATGCCCCAGTATGGGGTTTGGGGTTTAAGTTAGGCTAGTGGTTCAGGGTGTTTTAGTGTGGTCGGTCGAGTGATTTTTTGCGTTGTTTGGATCGGGTGTGGGTTAAAGGATGTGGTTTCGGATTTGCTGGTAAGGTTGGAGTTTGCATTTGCTTCGGATTATTTAGGATTGGGTTTTTTAGGTCGGTCGGCACCCTGAACCCTAAGGCCCTAAGCCCTAAGTCCTCAAACCCCCCTCGTCGGTCACGTTCGTGATGCAGCAGCTGGCCGGTCGACTTCGGTCCCGGTGCTGCTGTTGCTGAGTTGAGCTTGCCGGTCGACTTCGGTCCCGGTGCACTCCTGGGCTTGCCGGTCGACTTCGGTCCCGGTACTCAGGCATGGCACAGAGCTCGCTGTGTGACTCCGGTCCGCAGTGCTTTGTGCCACATCGCTTGCCGGTCGACTTCGGTCCCGGTGCACTCCTGAGCTCGCCGGTCGACTTCGGTCCCGGTGCTCAGGCATGGCACAGAGCTCGCTGTGTGACTCCGGTCCGCAGTGCTTTGTGCCACATCGCTTGCCGGTCGACTTCGGTCCCGGTGCACTCCTGAGCTCGCCGGTCGACTTCGGTCCCGGCGCTCAGGCACGACACAGGGCTAGCTGTGGGACCCCGGTCCACGGCGCCCTGTGTCACATCGCTTGCCGGTCAACTTCGGTTCCGGTGCACTCCTGAGCTCGCCGGTCGACTTCGGTCCCGGCGCTCAGGCACGACACAGGGCTAGCTGCGGGACCCCGGTCCACGGCGCCCTGTGTCACATCGCTTGCCGGTCGACTTCGGTCCCGGTGCACTCCTGAGCTCGCCGGTCGACTTAGGTCCCGGCACTTAGGCAGGACACAGGGCTAGCTGTGGGACCCGGGTCCATGGCGCCCTGTGTCACATCGCTTGCCGGTCGACTTCGGTCCCGGTGTGTTTGCGCAGGGCCTGCAGGACGCGGATTTTTGCCGGTCGACTTCACGTCTGCAAACCACCGCCTGAGGCCTGACCTATGGTTGGTCACGTGTCTTGTCGGTCGCGACGAGGGTGGCTTGCTGGACCCTCAGTTGCAATGTGCAGCCGCAAGACAGAAAGCTCTGCTCGCCCAGGCCACCATCAATCGAGCACGGTTTGTCTGTGTGGCTCTGAGATTTTGGGGGCAGCCGGTCAGTCGAGCCGATGATGCACAGACAGACACAGGCCCATTTTGTCGTCTTCTGCCTGCCGGTCCAAGCTTGGCCCTAAGTCATAGGTTGTCCCTTCTTCACATTCCAGATACCAGATGTAAGCTCGTGCAGGGCTCCTTGCTGGAGGAGGACATTGACTGCTGGGGGCTGAGGTTTCGAGTCACCCAGTTGTGTGACTCCTGACCTCTCTTAGTCTTGCAGGCGCTTCTCATCGCCTAGCCGGTCGCCAGCTGGGGTTTGAGGTGGTACGTTGTCCCTGCAGCTCCAGACTCCAGATGTAACGTAAGCTTACGCAGGCTTGCTTGATGGTCGATGGCATTATCAGTGCTGGGGGCTGAGGTTTTTTTAGTCAGCAATGTTTTCTGACCTACGATGCTGATGCAGGCTCGTCTGGTCGCGTTGCCGGTCGATGCTGGGGCCTAAGGTAATAGGTTGGCCGGTGAGTTCCAGATGTAAGCTTGGGCAGGCCTTCGCCGGTCCGGGAGGTGAGCTGGGGGCTGAGCTTTGGAGTCATGATTATTATATCTCGTGCATATTCTCGCCCAGGTTCCTGTGATTTTTCTGGCCGAGTTGCCGGTCGGTGCAGGAGCTGAGCACAAAGATGCTTTCAAGTTTGTGCTTGTCGGCTTTATGTCCTTCAGGTGCTGGAGGGAGCATCTCGCATCTCGTGATGCGCCGGTCGTCGACAACGTACCGGCTGAGGACTCTGTGCTTTGCAAGTGAAGTGCTCCACAGCTTTACTCGCAATTGCCGGTCACCAGCCACTTCTGTCAAGTGTGCTGAACACATGGTTGGCAGCCAGGCGACATGAACATAACGTCGGTCAGCATTGAAGTGTGTGTTGTGTTTCACATTGTAATAAGTAGTGCCCTCCATTCACGTGTTGGTCGCCATGGCAGATGCCGATGATGAGGATAGGAAGAAGGACAAGAAGGGCGACGACAAGGCCAGGGACAGGAAGACGGTCGGCAGGCACAAGAAGGACAAGAAGGGTGACAAGGAGGCCAAGGACGAGAAGCCGGTCGCAAAAAAATCCAGGAAACAGGTCAGGGAGGAGAAGAAGAAGAAGAGATCAGCCGAGGCGGTCGCAGAGCTCCTGACTGAGGTGTCTGAGGAGGGCGATACCGAGTCGGTCGGCAAGGCGGATGTTGAGCCGGCTGAGCCTGCAAGTGGCAGTGCTGCTGATCAGCCGGTCGCTGAGCCTGCAAGTGGCAGTGCTGATCAGCCGGTCAAAAAGAAAGGCAGCAAGTTCCAGACGCCTGACCCCAATGTCGCTTGGCTAAACTAGCTTGTCGGTCGATTCCAGCTGACTGACAGACTGTGTCGTGTCTGTGCAACTAAGAGCCGGTCCCAGCAGAAGAAGCGGACCTTCATGGAGTTTTGCTTCGAGAAGAAGAATAACAGGAAAACCACGAAGCCGGTCGATGATTGCGAGGCTTGGCTTGCAATACCACATGTTGTCATCAGGTGCAGTTGAGGTGCAGTTCAGGTGCAGTTCAGGTGCAGTTCAGGTTTCGAGATTGTATACATTGGTGCTGTTCAGGTGCAGGTCAGGTGCAGTTCGGGTGCAGTTCAGCTGTGTATATCTTATGTTGTGTGTGTCAAGATGTTGATTTGTGCAGGAACGACGTGGCCATGGCGGCTTTATGCCTTCTATGCCTTCTATGCCTTCTATGCCGCCGGTCCGCCCGGCGTCGTCACTGCCGCCTCTCCTTCCGCCTCCACTTCCGCCGTTGCCACCTTTGCCATTGCCCTTCCCGTCGGTCCCTCCGCTTACGCCTATTCCTCAGCCTCAGCCGCCGGTCGATGCTTCTGGAACAGTGCAGATGGCCCATTCAGATCTTCGGCTGATTTATTATTTAGTTGGTTGACTGACTGATTATCCTTGACCTGAAGACCTGTTTGTATGATTGGCCGGTCGAGAACAACCGAGATCTCAGACCTGCTCAAGAAGCAGGAGTCGTTGCAGGATCAGCTGGTCGCATGGAAACAGATCAGCTTTCATTGGAAGGAGGCAGTACCTTTCACAGCAGCTATCATAGTGTCAGCTGTGTTGGGCATTGGGTGAACTTGGAATTGATAACGGTCGGTGCTGTGCCACTTGGCCCAAGGCATATGGTCGGTCGCCGATGTGGCAGGCAGAGAATGTGGAGAGTCGACTGACTGGCGGTCCTGGTGCCACTTGTCTGTGTGAGGTGTCATTTGTAATGCTTCCGTCGGTCATATACGAAGTCCAAGGTTGAGCCACCTGCCCGTCATCAAGGAGTCGCTGCTCAACGTTCCACCAGTCCACTGCCTGGTGCTCAACGTCCCGCCGGTCCGGCGCAGCCGTTCAGTCCTGCAAGGCCCAATCCAGCCGCTGTGCAGCAGCAGCAGCCTCGGCCGGTCAGTGCGCAGCAGCAGCCTCCCATGATGGCCCCTGCGCAGCAGCAGCAGCAGCAGCCTCGGCCGGTCAGTGCGCAGCAGCAGCCTCCCATGATGACCCCTGCGCAGCAGCAGCAGCCTCGGCCGGTCAGTGCGCAGCAGCAGCCTCCCATGACGGTCCCTGCGCAGCAGCAGCCTCCCATGACGGTCCCTGTGCAGCTCCAGCGGCCGGTCGGTCATCCACAAAGCTTTGGCCCTGCCAATATTCCTCCAACACCTGGCCGCCCACAGCGGTAGTGAGTGGTGGGCCGGTCGACTGAACTGGTTTCCAGGATGCCCTCAGGTCCCTCCTCTAGGCGCTGAGGAATTTCATCGCCGCCTCGAGGAAGGATTTGAGTGATCCGGGCCGGTCATCTGAAAAAGACGAGCTCGCGTATTATGTACTGCATCCTGACAAACATAGTAGGTTGCTGAGTTGGGATTGCATTGCTTCACCTGCGAGGACAGTGTGCTTCCTCCTTTGGCCATGTTTGCCTTGCCCTTGGACGTCGTGAACAAGTGCAGATTCCAGGATTCCAGCCCATGTAGTCACACAAGTGAGGTCGGTCGCTTGTCGTGGCCTTCCTTGACCAGGCCATTGTAGCATTAAGCGGCAGAAGAGTTCTGTTGTCTTGCTGCTGGAGGTTTGCAGACAGCCGTGCCGTGGGCCTGGATGAGGCCCAGGAGGCCGGGCTCTGCAGCACACGTGTCCACTGGTCGGTCGGCAAGTTCTTGGCTGGCTAGTACCGATCTTCTGCCGCAACAAGGCTCAACAGTACCGAGCATGTGTCCACGGCATGTAAGGACATGTCTCACAGTCACAGTCACAGCGAAGCAAAAGCACGACGGTCATGAATGTCTCCAGCAATGTTTCGAAACATGAAGTGGGTACTTGAGCATCATACCTCCTGCGGACGATCATGACTCTGCCCACGGACGGTCGAGGTGGGTTCGTTTGATTGTTGAGAGAAGAGTTTAGCTGCTATGATTCTGCGGCCGAGGCCAGCCGGTCATTACTGGGCCTACAGAGCACCCGACTCCAGCATCGACGCCGTTCTCCTTCACTCCTCCAGGGACCTGGACTCCAGATCCGCAAGGTCCCATCCTCCAAACCATCACACACGACCTTGACATGATTGACCCTGCAGGAGTTGCTCAGCCGGTCCATCCTGCCACGCCTCGAGAGCCTGCCACGCCTGAAGGTGTTGCCACGCCATCACACACGACCTTGACATGATTGACCCTGCAGGAGTTGCTCAGCCGGTCCATCCTGCCACGCCTCGAGAGCCTGCTACGCCTGAAGAAGGTGTTGCCACGCCGGTTCAAGCATACAATTTGTGTCTGATATGTTTCATGCACAGGTGCCGGTCAGACCCAGACTCTTGGAAGGCCGCCAAGAAGTAGAGGCAGGTGGCAAAGTTGAGTCTTAATATAGGCTGGACCGAGCCGAGTCTGTTGCTAAGTCTGGGGGGCCAAAGACGACCCTGAGGAGCGACGACGCCTTCCCGGCTTTTGAACCCCATCCGAGAAGGCCCAGGCAGGTCTAGCTATTGTTTTGACTTGCCTGGTTGTGCCTGTTTGCTGCTGGTGTTTGTTGTTGGGGGGCTGGGCTGATGTCGAGGAGCCGAGGCTGATGATGAAGCTGCCGGTCCTGAGTACTTTGATCCTCACGCCGGTCTAGAGACAGCCTCGTTGCGCAGCGTTGCCACCATCGACAGCTTCGACTCCGCCAAGGTGCCGGTCAGAGAGCCGAGGGTGGGGGCTTCACAGAAGGTCGAAAGGACCGCCGCCAGGATGGGGTGCTTCCCCAATGACCCCCTTCCCGGCGGTCGCAGCTCCTCTTCGTCCGGGCCCTCACATGCCGGTCGAACAGGTGACGGAGACGGAGGCAAAGCCGGGCAGAAAGGCGGAAAAGGCGAACCTGCTGCCGGTCGAGGTGATGGCGGAAAAGGCGCCAAAGGCGGTGATAGCGGAAAAGGTGCCAAAG